TAGATAATTTCATATCATATTAACAATATGCAAATCCTATGCCATATTATTTACTTCAGTACATACCATTCATATCAACTGATAATTGATTTCAGCAATAATCATCATTCACTTCGATGGTTTACCGGCGGTAGAAGTAGAAATAAGTCACCAGGATCACGCGACGAAAAAATATTTGGCAAACATTAATATTATTTTATTAGTTATTCTCATTATTTCTCTAGTTTTCCCAATTCTATCGAAATGATATCCAAGAAACGCAAGTAAACCCATTAAAGGGATTAAATTAACAGCTAGAAAGCTGATTTTTTAATGGAATCAGCTCATTTTTTCAGTGATAAAAGTTAATGGTCAATAATGCCAATAAAGTTAGCCAAGGCGATATGGTGAAACAAAGAAACAATATCATATTTGTTTGTTTATTCGAGAAAACAGTTTAACAAGACCACTCTGTAAAATGCAGTTCAATAGGTCAAATCTGCGATAAATCAAGCGAATCGATAACTGTGGAACTGTAGTGATAAATAAAGAATACTAATAAAAAACTGTATGAAATAAGTAGCGAGGAAGAAGCATGAAAATTACCAAAGTATTGAAATTAACCTAATTTAATAAAAATTTAAAAAATTCTTTAAATAAGCATAATATAAATTTTATAAATTTTTCTTAAAATAAAGCAATAAAAATAAAATTGAGTTGAAATCGCATCGCAAGAAGTGATTTATTCCAGTAATATTTAAAGGGATTATAAGTGTTTGATTTTTTAATTCCACAGACAGGAAAGTTTAACACTTCTCGACAATGGTTCATTTAATTTATTCATAGTGGCAGAGGTGGAAGAACTGAGAACGAATAATTCGGCAATTCATTCCAATATGCATTTAAAAATTTAAAAATGCGAATTAATTTAATCTCAATAATTAAATTATATTGAAATTTAAGCTCAAATTCCAGTTAATTTCAAAATTTCTCATTTAATTAATTAATTAAATAATTAATTAATGTTATGTATTCGCGAAAAATACGGCTGATAAATATAAATTTTATTCTTTTTATTAATTTTTAATGCGAAACTTTCGAGAATATTTAGCATAAAAATTCTTCGCGAATATTTCAATTGTAGAGGGTCCATGTAGATGGGAAAAATTTTTTTATATGAACTTCGTTTATGATATTTTTGAAATATTTTTATCTCTAATTTCGACAGCGTTGTAACGAATCAGCTTATCACTGATTATAACATGGCTACAGTAATTCTCTATAGCGACACTTATGGGAGCAATTTTATGAATCTTACGAGCGTTCTGATTGTGAAGTGAGACTGGTTTAAAGAATTCCTCGAAAATTATAATAGAAAGAGCCCATTAGAAAATTTGGATATTCAACGAGACTTTGCAAATATGCAATTTATAATCCCAAACTTATAGAAATTATTAAATTTTTTTGTTACCGAAAATTTCGCCTTCAATAGATGCGAGAAGCACTGCCAAATGATATTTTTTATAGGCTATCAATTGCCTATCGCAGCTTATCATCTACCTCCCAAATCTGTTAAATATTTTACTGCTATTCTGAGGTAATCCTATAATGTAAGTGTCTATGACAACAGTGATAGTGTGCAAAAAAATTGTGATAAGGAGATCAAAAAAAATTTTCAAAATCGTCGAATTTTTTTTTCGAAAATTTTTTAAAGCTGAAACAACGCGATATAGCACATTTACTGACATTTTCAGGTTTAATTAGCCATTTAATGCTACTTCTGAATAGTTCTCGACCGTTAACTGGTGGAATGACTAATGCCGCGCATAAATTAAGGATCTTCTGTTCGCGCATTGCCCATTGGTATATTAAGTTTGTTGTGATTGAAGGTGAAAGCGAGACTTTTATTATCGGTGGGAACGCATTAAAATTGACATTTCTGACCAATTAATTCCATAATTTTGCATATTCAGCGAGTATTTTGAAAGAATTAATTTCAATCACTGAGTTGTATTTCAAAACACTTTTCTTGAATTCGTATAACAAACTTCAATTGAAAAAGGTTTTTTATTAAAATAATAAATGAAAAAATATTTTATCACATATCATATGGATTATCAAAGGCAAAATCAATCGCATTCGTAATATACAAATCGGATTTGATCGATTAAACATGGAGCTGGAAAAAATATTTTTTCAGTAAAATAAAGATTTAAAAATTTTTTAATAAATTTGTTAAAAAATTAATAAGAAATAAAAGAGCTATTAAAGTAATATATTGATATTCAATGAAACTTAGCCAAGTAGTTCTTTAAAAAATTTGTTGGCTAATTTTTCGCGAGTAAATGAAAGCTATATCAATGTCGTTTAATTTATAACTACCTCACTAAAAAATTAACTGAATTTCTTAAAATATGCCAATTTTCGCATTTTTTGGATGTAAATCGTTTTAATAGCTGCCTAAATCTATTCAAAAACCATTTAAATTCTTTTTTTCGATTTATTTAAAAAAGTATTAGAAAAATAAATATTTTCATTTTCATATTTATTCGATCAAAATCAATTTTGCTTCAAATCCTATCAAATCCGATTTTCATGTTGCAAATGCGATTGATTTTGCTTCTGATAATTCATGGTGTGATATGTAGTTAAATATTCATATTTCATAATAAAGAATTTTTCCAATCGAAATTGTTATTATATGAATTCAAGATTTAAAAAAATATTTAAAAAATAAACGACATTTCAACGATTGAATTTAATTCTCTCGAAAAATACCCGAGAAATACCTCTATCACTTCCCACCACTACTACAATCTCACTTTCAATAACAATAATTAAACAACCAATGGGCAACGAGAGTACTTAAGAAGCCCTAATTTACGCTCGGCATCACCCATCAATTAAAGGTCAAAAGGTAATCAAATGTGACATTAAACTTGAAAATATCTATAAAAATACAAAATCGCATTGTTTCAATTTAAAAAATCTGGAAAAATCTTAAAAACTTAAAAAATTTGATGAACTTGTCTTTTTTAATTTACCATATCTGAGTAATTTTTTTTTTGCATTTGTTGTTCTCACAGATACTTAGGATAAAACTGAAAGCAAGTGAAGGTACTTTGACAGATTTGCAAGAGCGGAAAGATACACTGTAATAGGCGAATGATAATCGCAGCGCTTGGCCAATGCCATCATTTCGTAAAATAAAAATATTTTATATGAGAGAAATTTTTCTCAAGAAAAAAATTTAAGTTAGGGACTATAAATTGAATGTTTGCAAAGTCTTGTTATCCAAGTTTTCTATTCGGATCAACCTTTCCGAAAATCCTGAAAACCAATCTTACTGCAATAAAATCAAAACCCAAACAGGATTTGTCGCAAACATGCGAATTTCACACCATAGAAAGCTAATGAAGTAGCCATACCATTCTATAAACCGCGATAAGCTGATTTGTCATATACCAACAAAACTAGAAAAATTAAAAGTAAAACTTTTAAAGGAAATGATTTCATGAATTGAATTTCTAAAAATTTCCTCAACTTACTTCTAATAGATTCCTAACAAAAAAAAAGTATTTCTGAGAAATTTATATGCCGAAAATTTCTGAAACTCTTGCATAATATTTTACATGAATCAACTGAAAAAAATAAAATTAAAAGAAAATTTTTTCGGTAACGAAAAATTGATATAATTTAAATTAGAGAATTTTTAAATCTATTTTGTGAAGGAAATCTCGAAAAATTGTTAAATTTCGTAAAAAACAAATGATAATTTTTGGAAATTATTTTTTAAATAATTATATAATAATTAATTATATAATAATATATAATAATTATATAATTCGAGTACCAATTCTAATTCAAAGATTCAAATTCACTCAAATTTAACGAATAACAACAAAACTTTCAATGCAAAACTTTACACGGCCAATTTCTTCTTTGCACGAAACTCGTTGGACAAACGATGCGCTATAAATATGATATTCAAAGAAATTCGATTAAATAAAATTCATTTTTTGAGAATTTTATTTTCAATAATGGAATGAAATTTTATACGAAGAGATTTCAATTTGAAAATGAGAAATATAATAAAAAAAAGTCTCAAAAATTGGAATTCAACAAAAAAATTTTGCAACAAAAATAAATCGATGACCATTGGATTTGAAAAAAAAAAGTACTTTCAATTATTCATTCAGTGGAAATATTGGGAAATCATAATACTATATCCTGAAAAACCAAAACCATTTCGGGCAATAATGCCCGGATTTTCCTGGAAATCTTTGTTGAACTTTTCATCAAACTTGCTTAAATATTTCACATGAATATTTCACGCATGGATTTATGTTTGTCGAATCACTGATAAGAATAAAATGATTAAGCGACATTGCATGATACCGTTGAAAGTTGATCTTTACGTTATTTGCCACTTAACATCTATACAAACGGACTGAATAAACTGTTTTCCTTTAACAGCACTCACCATCACTGATTAGTCTCACTCCATTGATTTGGTGGCTAAACAAATCTTATCTGGAAGTCCCATGACAATAGAAATATAGCTCAGTCGCCATAATCACTCGGTGAATGAGTGATATTAACATTTCTTTGTTAGTTACTTTGATGATTTCTTTCGTTTCTCGGGTTTTTTTCGAAATGGCATCCTATAACCGCAAATAAACCCATTTAAATCAAATTAGGAAACAGAAATATGATTTTTTATAGGTTTTTAAATGAATCGTTTAATCATTTTTATTAATTTTCTCAAAGATAAAAAGTTTCAACATTTATGGTTGATAATGCCAAATAAATAAATCAGCCAAGCTGATAAGCTGAAAAAAGGAAAACAATATCATATTTATTTATTTTTCCAAAAAACAATTAAACAATTCGGCAATCTTTTCCAATATGAATAAAAAAAAATATGGGAATTAGTCAATTTCAACTGATAAGATTGATCTATATTGAAATTCGACTGAAATTTTAGCTAATTTTCAAAATTTCTCATTTAATTAATGAAATTATACTTTATTATACATTGAATCTATACACTGCCCATCATTTTCTACATATTTATCATTGATACACGAGCATTTTTGAAGACACCGATCGGTGAGTTCGAGGAAACGTCTTTTCGAAATCGTTTTAAATATCATATTCGTTCCACACTTTTGATTTGTTCTTTGGCAACCGTAATCGAAAATTTTATCGCCAATTTTGTAATTTCTTGTATTGTTAATCGAATCAGACTGAATCTTTAATAAAAATCACCTATGTTTATATTAATTTAAATATAAAAAGCAAATAAACAAATTAAGATATTCATGCTTTTTTCTATTAGAAGAACTGTGGGAGTCACAACAAACGAATATAATTTAGCACCGAGTAGATTAGTTTAACGAAAGGCAAAAAAGAACCACTCACCGGAATTTCTCCAATGGTCGTCGGATTATTTGCTATCACAGTTCGTTGCTGAATTTCAACGCATTTTTCACCTTCTCTAGTAAAACTTTCATTTTCGCACTGACATCTTAGCCAACAAATTTTATCATTTGAGCTTTCCGATGAGTTACTTGGCTGAATTTCTCTGAATATCATATGAATACCACACTTTCGTCCTTGCATCATCAAACATACGGATTTATAGTAGGAACTGGCACCATTACTTGCAAAATTCACATTATTGCTTGCCGAATTGATATTATGGCTCGAAATAGTTGTCTAAATTTGAATGCCGAGGATGGGCGATTCTAATAAATATTTAAAAAAGAATTGCTATGACTGCATGAAATTTCCTCGTATAATTTAAATTTCTTTATGATTTGTTGCCTTTTAAAATAAATAATAAATATAATATTATATTACAAAAAAATAATAAATATAAAAGTAAATAAATATAATATTATATTACAAATAAATATTGAGCTACTTGGCCAAATTTCTTAGAATATTGTTCGCAATTGTTTTGGCATCGATATGCATTGTTTCAAATCTGAATCCTGAATCCTATGCAGGCTGATGATTTTTTCCACATATATGTTGAATAAATCATAATTTCCCTGATTTTGCTTGTATTCTAACCCGAGAATCATAGAAATGATACCTTTTCGACACACTGCCCGTTCCTTTCAATATATTTTTCATCGATGCACGAGCAGATTTGAAAGCATCGGTAAGAATAAGCTGAGGAGTCGAGAAAGATTGTTTTCGAAATAGTTTTGTAAATCATATTAGTTCCACATTTTTTAGAAGTTTTTTCACAACCATAATCGACAATTTTCTCGTGAATTATTTTGAAGTTTCTTTCGTCGCTTGTACTTTGAGAATTAACCTTTAAATTAAATTCGTTGATTAAAAATTAAAATATAAAAAAAAACTGAAATGAAATCCTTCCGCTTTCAACATTTCCAACAATTAAAATATTAACTGTGAGGTTTTCTTATACAATCAATTTCTTGTTGGTTGAAACTAACTTTGAAAAAAATTAATTTATTCCCATTTATTTAATTGTTTTAAATCGATTTGCGAAAATTCGCCACAACTAATTAATTTGTAAAATATACAAATTGTACATACCTTAGCTGTATTTTGGTATTTAGGAAACTCTTCTTTGATGCATTTCCCGTTGCTTACAGCAAAATATTTTTTAGCACAAATACATCGTTGCCAGCATTGATATATTGGAAATGAGTTCTGAAGACGAACAGCTTTGGAAATTAGTCTAAATACCATATTTTCGCCACATTTTTGATTAGTTCTGCGGCAACCAAAATCAGCAATTTCCTCGCCATATGCACATTCTCCATGCTTACATTCACTCGCGGCACTAACATATTGAAGAAAAACCTTTAATAAGGAGAATTTTTTAGGTTAGCTTATAAAATTAAAAGATTAATAAGCTGTCGGCCGAAGCATGAGAAGACTTTCGGCCGTCCTAATAAATAGTTATAGAAAAAAAGAATTATCTCATAAAAATTTTTTATTAGGATTAAAAAAATTCACTAACTATTGTGCAAAAAATAACAGCGAAAAGAAACATCACTGAATGGCGGGCGAATGGTTGAAAATCTTATGGGCGATGATTATTTAAAGTATCCGCAAAACCGGTTTTTGGGATTCATTGGTAATCTTTTCACGATGACTATGACAGTATTCTGTGTTATGATATGTACTATGTGTTCTATTCCTACCGAATAAACAACGTTTCTTTGATTATCAGAAATTTATCAAAAATGTTTAGCGCATCGATGTAAAAGGAAAATGGCTGCTATAATTTTTTATGAATTTTCACATATTTTTAAATTATATTGTTGAAAAAATTGTATCTCAAAAATTATATCTACACTTTCCTGTTAAATCTTCTTATTGTTTCAATGTAATTTAATATTAAATATCGCACGAATATTTTTGCTATGAAAGGGATTAGCGTTTTCGTCACTAATCACTGATAAATCCGACAGGCGTTTTGGTTTTAATGCAGTGGCATTGATTTCTGCGTTAATTCTGGAAAATTTTTGTTGAGAATCCTATTGCCATTCAATTGACTTTCGACTCTTCAATGCTCTTTAATGTCCATTTTACGAATAGATAATTTATAATTCTATATTTTATATAAAATTGTAGTTTTTTGCAGTCAATAAAACGATAAATTTCGAATAGTTTATAAGCATTTAATTAAATCAACTTCTTCATTTTCTAACAGCTCTCCACATTGCTGGTTAAGCTGGCTATAAGGGTAAGACGCTTTTAAGTGGTTCGGTCCGACGCCATTGCTAGCAAGAATAGAAGCCATTCTTTTTTCCATCGTTTAAGTCCATATATTGCTGGTCTACCTATACGTTCAAAATCTTTTCTGACCTTTCCAGGTCTTGATTGGCCTACCTTGCTTTTGACGCCAACCATCATAAGTTATTTAACAAATAACGAAATAACGAATCAACTCCTGTGCTGGGCGACGTAGAACATACCCTAACCAGCGAAAGTGACGCTCTGTTATAATATTAATTAATACAGATGGTATTTGAGCGAAGATGGATACAGTCATGTGCGATTTACTCTGCTCGACGATTCCTTAAAATATACCTTAGACAAGAGGGATCAAAGGCTAATATTGGCCATGTTTTTCATAGCCATATAGCAAGATCGAGGGAACTATAGTTACATGGATACGGGCTTTTGTCTTTATGGTGATTTCGCGACGACTCTATAAAAATTTCGTCAGCCAGAAGAATGCATTTTTAGCTGCCGTAATCAGAGTTAAAATGTCAT